TTTCAGAAATCAAACATGCAATCAATTATAAATAGTTGTGTTTTGTTTATTTCATGGATAGATAGATAGAAGGGCCAAACTGAAGCTTCATACAGTTAACATATACAAATTCCATGCAATCTCATCATTTACAAGTTTTTGACTTATCTTGTTTTCTGCTGCATTTATGTAATATCAAGAGCCACCTAACCTTGTCAACTTGAAAAATGATAATATTAATTAATGATGAGCCCATCCTTCCCCTCAATATAAGTGTTAATTAGTGTGATAAATGAATCATCAAACTATCATCATTGTCTCTATATCATTTTGTTGATAATCAAACATTTGTTATCAACAAGAAGAAAAGATCATTCATAACACCGGGATTGCTCAGTTCCTTCTGCTTAAATCCAGAAGCGGCTTAGTATCATGAGACTGTAACCTCTTTTGGGGCACAAACGAATGGACTTCACATACAAGATTAGTCAAGCCAACAAGCAATTAGACCTTTAACAGAGGCTAGGGATTCATCGTAGTCCCAACTCTTTGTTTATGGGGGCTTCAAACGCGTTGGAGGACGTATTAATGAGGCTGTCAGGGCGTCACAAAACAAAAAGTAAAGGGAAGAGCACGCTGATTGTACGAGACTGACAGCTGATACGAGGTTGGCTTTGTCCTGTTCCAGACAAAGATTTGGTGGGCCCAACACGTTGGCAATAACATCAAACGTAAGTGATAATAGATTGTCAAAATCATGAACGCATCGCCCAGGGGAGGGGGATTTGGCAAAATTATGAAGCGGTACTAGCAATCAGAGGAATGGGCCGACATGCTCAATGGGCTTGTAGTCGACTAGCAATTTTCTAATGGGCCTAGTGTGGATCAAGGCATGTTCTAATGGGCTTCTATAGGACAACAAATATTGCTTCTTTTCATTATGGTGGGCTTATTAATGATTTTTTTTTTTTGGAAATGGATTTATTTATACATAATTACATATATGTTTCACTTACTAAAACAAATGAAATTTTAAATTTTCATATTATTAAATTATTTAAATACATTTAAACTATTCATTAAACTATTTATTATATTCACAACTCATAAATATACACAAACTTACAACGACATAATAATTACGATAAAATATTTTTTTATTCACAGTTAAATCAAAAGTTTTAACGATACAACTCGTCTATTTCTTTTTCAACATAATGAAAAGTCATAAAAATATTAGTATGGTCATCATAGTCATAGTTGAAAATAATGGTCAACACTTCTTTTGTCAAAAAAGGTAATTATCTTTTTATTAATTAAAGTATAGTAGTACGAGTAGTATAGTCATTGGCGTGTGAGCGGACCCATTGGAGAAAATAGCATAATTAAATAACCTATAGTTCCTCCTGCTTGATGCTACTTTCAGCTTGATTTTGTCATAAAAATAATGTTGACTTAATAATAAGTAATTATGTCATTCACCATGTATTTTTGTTGGTTTTTGGAGGTTCTCTTTAGATTTGCTGGCATGGCTTCAAAATTATATATAATTAAATAATATATATTTATAGTATTATTTAAAAAAAGAAAAAAAGGGAAATGGAATTCAATGTGTCAAAAAAATTAATTTTATTTGTTTAATAAAATAAAAAATAATTACATATATAATTGATAAATCATATATAAAGTTTTTTAAAAAGAGTATATCTATTAATTAATGAATTAAATTAATTAATTAACTAATTAATTTAATTCTTTAAAACTTAACTAATTTACTAAAAATAAATATTTAATAATTTCACATATTTTAATATATAAATATTTAGTATTCAAATATTATGTTATTTTTGTCATACTATTATTTTTTATTTTAAGGGATACAGTTGAAACATTAAAAAAAGAAGAAAGTAAGTTTGAAAATATAAAGATAATTTTGTAAATTTACATTACATTCTCATACTTCCAAACCAAATATTTTCATCTAATTTTTCTAATAATCATATTCCCTACAATCATTACTTTTCTATATTATACAAAGCTTTAGAAAATTCTTTCTGTAATTATCACTTTTTATATTCTACAAAATACTGTAAAGTTCATTTTATCAATCATATTTTCTGCAATCATCACTCTTTCATATTATATCAAATGTTATAAAGTTCTTTCTATCAATAACATTTTCAATAATCACATTACTAACAATTATATTTTTAATAAAATATCAAAAGACACGATTTATACTAGTGAGAACAAATTGATTAACGTGAAAGTAGAGGAAATTGACAACAAGTCAGTTCTATCGGACCCTTAGGACATGTGATTGCAATTTCTTGTAAATTCAACTTAAAAGTCTAGAAAAGACTTTGACTTTTAGGTAATCACGTTGGCTTAAAAATAATTATTGAGAAGAAAAAGTCTCCATGACGTTTTTTCTAGGTCTAGAAATGCATTACCGGCACTTTGAGTGGTCTTGGTTTAAGTCATAGTCTTACGGTCTAGTAGTGTACAAGGAAATTAATGTTAGGGGATACTTTACGATAAAATCAAGTGTAAAGTTCCCTGATTCTTGGTGCAACAAAGAATTTTAACATCTTGGGTTTACTGAAACAGATGGGAGCTCTACATTAAGCTAGGGCAGACAAGCATATTCCGTTTCATAGTTTTTTAAACTTCACTGCAGCTTATTTCAGTGCGTATTTCTCAAGAATCTTAACTTGACAGCCATCATGTTAGTTAAAGATATTTCCATCTCCAAGAAGAAGTTGAGGCCTATAGAATAGTTGTACTCTCTGTCACGATTGATGAAGAATTCCAAGGTCAATGGACCCAGAGTCTTGCCTTGAAGCCTGAAGGTCAATGCGGTTTAGAATGTTCAATCAAATGGCATCTATTCTTATTTTCAAAGCAAATAGCTTTCAGACTATACATACATGGACATGGATATCCTTTCTTTCAGTGCTTGTTTCCTCATCATCTTCTCCAA